GGAGGGTGGGTGCCTGCAAGGCCCTTCTTCCTAGGGAGGTAGGAAGTGCCTGCTGTTTCCAGGGCCCATGGGGGCTGGCAGGAAAAACCTCTAGCACCCTTGTTTTTATTTATTTGTGATGTAAATAAAGTATTTCTGATACATAGAACTGCACGTACAGCAATTTAAAACACATTTAAAGTACCACCATGAACCTCCACCCATATTTTGCTATCTTTGCCTTTTAAAATAGATTCTTTCTGCTAGGCCAAAGCCCTTGGGTGTTTCCACACCCTCACCAGCATTGTTTTCATTCTTCCGTAGGAGCATTTACAGTGGGTGAGAGTTGGCTTCTTGTGTGTCTTTTTTTTTGGGGGGAGGGGAATTGCGGTTTGAATCCAGGGGCCCTCAACCACTGAGCCACATCCCCAGTCCTATTTTGTATTTTATTTATGGTCTCGCTGAGTTGCTTAGTGCCTTGCTGTTGCTGAGGTTGGCTTTGAACTCACAGTCCTCCTGCCTCAGCCTCCCGAGCTGCTGGGGTTACAGGTGTGCTCCATTGCTCCTGGCTCACACATCAGTTTTTCTTCTTCGGCTGCGACCAACACAGCCAGAGCTTCACTTGGCAGCCCATCGTACTCTGGCTCTGTTCTAGCTGCTGTGTGGCGTTCTCTCTCTGCTGAGCACCCTCTCAGCACACACCACTCATCAGGTCTCACAGACTGAACGGCCAACAGCTGTCCATGCCTGCAGGCTGGACTCTTGAAGCACAACTTCAGTGAACATCCTCAGGGTGTGTCTGGGAACACTGGGAGCTTCTAGCGCAGTGACAGTGAGTTTTCCGTTCTCCAGTGTGTCTTTCTGTGCATCTTTTGTAGATGACTACTGATGACCTAGATTTCATTGCTACGGCATGTTCTCTTGAATTCTTTCTTCGGGTATGGCTGAGGTTTGGGTATCCTGGTGTCTAGCTTCTATTCTGGTTGTTAGCCGCTGGCCTCTTGCCTTCTGTCATGCTGTGTTACGAAGGAGTGTTGGTTTAACCTAGAACGACAGCAGTCTGATCCTCACTGCAGTAGGAATGCTGCTGAGAGTCACCCTGGATCAGGTGCTCGTGGTGACTGCTCTGGGTGTGTCTCTGTGTGGAGGAGCCCTCTCGCTGGCCCACTCAGGACTTCCTGAGGGTCGAGTTCTCAGGACGATCATGCTCTTCTCCTGGTCCTGTGGTAATGCCTGAGGTAGGTTTTTCCTGCTGTTGAACTGTCCTTGCCTTCCTGGGATGTCCCTGCTGGGATGAGGTTTTGTTAGGAACTGCTGGACGTGATATGGTGATGGTCGGGGCAAGTTTCACCAAGCCTGAGCCTGATCCTCTTCGTGTACCTTGGCTGCCTAGGCAGTGACGTTTTCGTGCTTTACAAGATGGATGGGTGGTTTTCTTCTGTGCCCTGAACAATGTGTGGAACTGAGATTCCTATGGCTGAGGCTTGGGCCAAGCTTGGCTGCATAGCTGTCTGGTCCTGATGACGTCTGTGGTGTCAGTGACTCTGTTTTGTGAATAGCTATTAGGTTAGCCAGGTTTTTTTTTTTTTTATTCCTCTTGAGTCTTTTGTAGGTTTCTAGAAAACCTGTGTCATCTAGGTTTCAAATTCATTGACATAGCGTCGTGCATACAGTGGTGTGGGGAGCCAGCAGGGGCTGGTGCTGCCTGGACACAGGGCAGTAGGCCATGGCACAGGACATGGAGGACAATTGCGTCGCCACAGATAGGTCACCAAGCCTCCTTCCAGGGTGGGGACTACTTGTTACGCCTGATGCAGAGGCCTGTAGTGCATTCTGCCAGCCCTAGGGACAGCATCGAAAGTGCTTGCTGCAGGCCCTGGGAGGGATCAGCACAGATGCCCAATGGGTTGGTCTGCGCCTGGCACCGGCAGAGAGACTGGCAAGAAATGAGCATGAGGGCATAGCTGTGCTCCAGATTAAAGCCCAGAGCGGCAGAGCAGAGTCTCAGGAGGCAGCCTGGAGATGGGTCACACAGACTGTCAGCGAGTTCTGTCTGGGTGTGACGTGTCACTTGGGTCTTCCGGGTCTTCTTAGTAGTGATGGCTATTCATAATCACGCTTGGTGTGTTGTGGAGGAAGTACCATGCAAAGCCTATGTATGTTTTTTTTCTTAAACCATTATGGAACCTGGTGCAGTGGCACACACCTGTGATCCCAGCGACTTGGGAGGCAGAGGCAGGAGAATCGTAAGTTCAAGGCCAGGCTCAGCAACTTAGCAAGACCCTAAGCAACTCAGTGAGATCCTGTCTCAATAAAAAGGGCTGGGATGTGGCTCAGTGGTTAGGTGCCTCTGGGTTCCATCCCTGGTAACAAACAAAAACCAGGATAGTACTATACACAGTGAAGTATCATTTATTTAAATTTAATGTTTTTTACTTTGCAAAACAGTTTAGGAGTCAGAAACTAGGGAATTAAATTGCATGATTGACTTGAATATTGTTGTCTTCCGATCCAGAGCAGATAAAATCCCCCAGTCTCTGTATGCTGCCTACTGCCAAGCCTGCTCCACTGCTGAGAAGCCTCCAGAAGGTAGTCTTGCCCTTGCTGGGGCTGATGCTTCCCATTTCCCTGGCTCAGAGCCCCTGCCCCCAAGGCTGCATCAGTGACCGCCAGGGCTGTTCATAGTGACACCGAATGAGATGGGGGTTCCATAGGTTGCCTTAACCTGGCTCTTATAAGGGGTGTTTGGAGCGGACGCCCCTGTGCCTGCCAGGTGCCTGTGCTGACTCCTGCAGGCACAGTAGGTGCCATGATGTGTGGCTACTCTGGTGCCTTAGATGGCCCCGAGAAGCACATAGGGAACAGCTGGTGGTGGAGGCCCCACTTGCTCTGTGAGCACGGAGCGCAAGGGGGAGCTCCACAGCCCTGCAGGTCGCTGTCGCACACATCTGCACATGCACACCCGTGTCCTTTCTGCCAGCTCTTGCAGCAGCAGGGAAGGGCCCTGTCCAGAGCAACCTGGTGCTTTGCCCTGTCATTTTGTCACAGGGACCAGCACCTCGTCATTGAAGCAGAGAGTTTGTGGGTTTTGGTTTTGGGTTTTCTTCTTGGTGCTGAGGTTAATCCTAGCAATACACTGCCACTGAGCTGCACGATCCCTTTTTATTTTCTACTTTGAGACAGGGTCTCACTAAGCTGCCTCCAACTTGTGATCCTCCTGTTTCAGCCTCTAAATCACTAGCACTGCAGGCGTACTGTGTCCATCTTTGTGTTTGTTCCTTTTTTATGTCCCTTGACATCTGTAGGGCCATGCAGGCTGAACAAGCCTGTTCTGTTCGACATAGTCCTCTCTCCAGTTCTATCTCCAACCCTCCTTCCATAGGCCTAGACAGTTCCCCGTGGTTGTGGAGACCCAGGAGAAGCTCTGGCAGGGACCAGTGCTGTGTTGGGGACAGCTGGGAGGTCTGACGCCTTAGCCACATGGTGAGGGCTTCTCTTCAGAGAGTTGCCCTCCTTCACACCTTCCTACTTTAGGGGACCAAGCCCTAACCCTCATGCTTCTAGGCAAGTGCTCTACCACCGAGCTGTACTTACTTCCCAGAAATTTTTTTGATACCCAGGATTGAACCCAGGGAGTGCTTGACCACTGAGTCACATCCCCAAACCTTTTTGTTTTATTTTGAGTCAGGGTCTTGGTAAGTTGCTGAGGCTGGCTTTAAACTTGCTACCCTCCTGCCTCAGCCTCCCGAGCCTCCGGGATTACATGTGTGTGCCACTATGCCCGGCCGACCCAGACCTTTTTAAATTTTGAGACTCAGATTCATGACCCATGCTGAGTCACTGGGTCACAGGCCCGCGACCCTGCCCTCAGCTCCTGGGTCCCCAGGTGCTTTCATGGTGCGTGGTGGAGTTCTCGAGCAGAGCCATGGCTGCCAGTTCCTGCTGGGCGAGACCCACAGGCGCAGCGTGCACTGGTGAGTGTGGGCCTCTGCAGCCAAGCCACATGTGAGCTTGCTTTGCTCTAAGGCACGCCTCTCCTTTTCTAGCGAAAACGATGTGAGAGTTTAAACCAGGATCTTTTGCCAACGTGTCTCCTGAGTAGATGTAGCCGCAGGCTGAGCTGGTGACAGTCGCCAGCTCTGTCCCAGGCCTGCTGGGGGATGTGGATGTGTGGCTGCCTCCCTCAGTCGTCCAGCTGGGATGCCCACCTGCCCCTGCCCCCGCCCCCATCTGTGCAGCTCTGTTTCCGTTACACCTGTGCGTTCACACTCATGGCTGTGGTCTGCAAAACTGCTTTTCTTCACTTTGTTTATAAGCATTTTGATGTGACACGCTGTACACAGTGTCGGAGAGAGGATCCATTGTCTGTCCTTGACACCTAGGCCTGGCATCTGCAGGAACCTGTTTCCCCTCTGCCTCCGCTCCCTCAGGTGCAGCCTTGGGAATGAGGGCAGAACCCACCCATGCCGAGGAGCCCCTGGGACCACTCAGGGTTGCGCTGACAGAACTCAGAGCCTTGATGGCAGACCCCACCCAGGCTGACGGTGAGGACGGGGTGTCTGATGAGAGTGTGCGTGTTCTGCGTGAGTGTGCAGTGTGGGGTTGGAGCCATGGCAGTGGAGGCTGTGTCTTTCCTCTGGTCTCACTGCAGCTGCCTAGACCCTGGGCAGAGATGAGCGCTGTGCTATTTGGCAGCCAGTGGGACGGGCAATGGAGGAAGAAAGCTGAGCAGGGCTCGTAGGAGGCTGTTTCTCCAGTATCCTGGCTGTCTGTGTTAATGTGAAGTACCCTGGGCCTCTACTCTGTCTCTGAAACACTGAGTGGGGGTGAAGGCTTCATGCATGGAGTGAGAGCATGCATAGCCCCTTAGCACTTGGTGCGACCCAGCAGTCTGTGGCAGTGAAAACTGACTGCAGGACGTTCAGATTCTTACTAGGATGCAGAATCTGAAATAAGTAAGCCACATGTTTCCTGAGCGTATTGCCGCTTACTGTTGCTATAACAAAATACCCAACACTGGGTAATCTTTAAAGAAATAAGATATATTTAGTTCACAGTTCTGGAGGCAGGCAGTCCCAGGCTTGACTGTATGTGCAGAAGGGCACAGGCAAGCAGGAGGCCAGAGAGACCAGGACCATCAGGCCTGTGCTTTTGTGACAGTCTCTCAGCCTCCTGGGAGGCCCAGTAGTGTCCTGGAGAACCACAGCAGGCCTTGTGAGGTGATGCCCCTGGGACCCCACCACACCCACCAATGCCACCACCCTGGGAACAAACCACGCCCACCGTCACACAGAGTAACCAGTTTCAGTTGTCACACAAACAGCCCCGCAGCACTGCAGCTCTGGGGTGCAGCCCCTCCCTGAGGCCGCCTGCACAGGCTGGAGACACAGCCTTTCAGAGCCGTGCTCGCGTGGTCCTGGGGTGCTCTTGTTGTGTTTTTTGAAGCTGGGCTTGCTAGACTCAAACACCTGGGCTCTAGTGATGCCCCTGCCTCAGTCTCCCCAGTGGTAGCACCACAGGCCTGTGCTGCCAGGCCTGGCCAGGACGTGGCCCTTGGAGGGCACTGTGAAGAGTTCTGCTCTTAAGCCAGAACCTGAAAAGGTCAGCTCAGCTGCTTCCTGAGCCACAGGTTTGCATGCTTGAGTGGGGTGGTCGGCCTTCGTCTCGCCCCGGCTGTCCAGTGCCGTGTGGGAGGGTTGGGCTGGGGTTTCAGAAGCCAAAGGCTGATCCCCGAAGAAGGAGCAATGGAAGCAGGCCCAGCATGTCCACACCACATGTGCTCAAGTGTCACGAGGCATAGGTCCCCGTGTGTCCGTGGTCTGATCACTGCCTCCCCCAATGAGAATGAGCTTTGCCACTGCCTGGCTGGGGTGTGGGAGCCAGCTGGTGGCCGAGGCTTTTTAGCTTTCTGCGAGGCCATGTCAGCCCCTGAGCACTGGTCTACCCCGTGTCCTGTCTTCCCTGACTGGTTTCTCTACCTGCAGTTATATCTGCTCAGATGGCCGTGGTTTCTGAACGACTGAGCGCGGCCTTGGGGCATGGTGAGGATGACAGCCCCCGTGGCAGAGGGAGGATTCAGCTCAACGTCCTTGCTCCAGAACTTCAGCAGCAGGAGCAGCTGGTGGGTGCAGGCTGTGGCACCAGCCGCTTCGTAGGTTATGTCAGGAGCTGGGTCAGGCTTCAAAGACCTGGGCCCTCCCTGCCCAGGCCAGCCAGCCCGTTTGTGTGCGTCCTGGCTGCAGACACCTTCTGCAGCCCCAGGCCTGAGTCTCTACTCACCCTTTTCGGCTGCTCAGCATTGATTTCCAAGTCCTGGACGAGTCCTGGAATCGGCAGGGGTGGGGGTCCCGGGACCAGCTGCCCTGCCATCTCCCCATGCTTGCACAGGCTGCTTCCCGTTGCTAGTGGTGGGAGCTACAGCCGTTGGTGGCCATGTCCCTCCCAGGTGGTGGACCTCCTGCTCTCAGCTTTCTGTCAGAGCCTGATGGTGGCCTCCAGCTCTGCCCCTCCAGAGAGGTAAGGGCTCAGGAGTTTGACTGGGTGATCCTGGGCTGTCCTGGGGCATCAAGATAGCAGGCCAGGCCGGAGTGAGCTCAACTTCCAGGAGCAGGTGTCCAGGCCGACTTCCAAAAAGTGGGGATTTGTAGAAGTCTTGTTGTCCTTGGTCCCTGTTTGGAGGAATGACCTGGCCCTTTGTAGGCCTCTGCACCTGGATCAGCTGTGGGAGTGGTGTGTGGGGCTGTGAGGGGCCAGGGCCTCACCTCTGTTATCTACAGGCAGGGTCCCTGGGCAGCCTTCTTTGTGAGGACCCTGTGTGGACCTACGCTGCTGCCTGCAGTCCTTACCCGCCTCTGCCAGCTGCTCCACCACCAGGTAGGCTCCCCCTTCATGCAGGCCACACGGGGGCTGCTCCAAGGGCTGGGCAGCCTGGCTAGTCCTCCAAGCACAGGAGCCTTCTGGCTGGGGGGCTGTCACCAGCTCTGCCACTTGTCCCTCTCTTCAGGGCCCACGCTTGAGTGCCTCACATGTGCTGGGCTTGGCTGCCCTGGTTGTCCACCTGGGTGAGCCTGGGTCTGCACTCCCGGAGGTGGAGCCAGGCCCTCTTGCCCCGGCCAGCAGCCTTCCTGTCCCCAGGTTCCTCGACAGCCTCCTGACGTGCCACACCAAGGAGTCCTCGCTCTTCTGCCTGAGGTAGGCCGACTCTCCTCTCAGTCACTGCTCTCCTCTCCTGGGAAAAGAAATAAGCATCCATCAGATGATACCCTGGAGGACTGGGTGGGCTGGGGTGCGGCTCAAGGAGAGCACTGGCCCAGCATGTGCAAGGCCTGGGGCCTTATCACTAGCCCCCAGAAAAGACAGACGTGTAGAGGGAGAGGTTTCCACCTTGTGGACGTCTCTGATACACCTTGGTTACTGCACAACTCCTAGGGAGCGTGTCGCTGCTGTTTTCTGGTGTGGATGCTCCTGGGTGCGTTAGGAGTGGTGGGGGCGCCCACGCACACCTGCAGCCTGGCCCCACGCCATCTTTGCTGCGTCTCCTTTCTTGCTCCCCACCTTCCTGGTGCTCTGGTCTCGGGGGCGGGGGGGGGGGGGGCAGAAAGGCTCTGTTCCCGTTCATCGTTGCCTCTGCACATCATCACAGCTGGTCTTATGTGACTGGCTCCTCGGAGGCTGAGGCCATGCTCAGGGATGTCCCCTGTGTGCGAAGAAGCATGCTCATCTCTCAGGACACGCCTGAGCACACCTTTCACTGGCTCTGAGGACTCCTCCTCTTCTGTTCATGGGGATGACACACCCTCAAGTCCAGGGTGTCCACCTCCCTCCTGGCCGTGTCCCTTACAGAACACCCAAGCTCCTGGTTGGTCTGAGGCGGGTGGTACCAGTTCAGCCCTTGCACACCTGAAGTGCACCTCTGCCTCGTGTGGTCAGGGACTTGTGGGGATGGCAGCTCCAGCTCAGGGGATGGCTGGGGATGGCTGCTCAGGCCCCAGGCCAGAAGGTGCTGAGGTCAGTGTAGCGAGCCCTCCATGGTTGTTGCTGCTCTGTTCGCAGGTTCTGCACCGCAGCGCTCTCTTACGCTCTGTGCAGGGTCTCTCCCCAGCCCTGCGACTCTTGGCACAGCTGTTTGTCTCCAGGTCTTGTCAAAAAGGTAGGTGTACGGGTTCCTGGTCTTCTGTACTGCAGAGGCCAGGTCTGCCACTGTCGCAGGTTTCGGTGGGCATCGGGCCTTGGTTGGGGACTGCCGTGGCCATCTGGGGTGTCTCCCTACTGAATCTGGGTGTGAAGTAGCAGCTGCACCTGTCTGCTCCTCTTAAAGAAACAGACACTGGCATTCACAGGGTGTGTTCACGAGAAGCTTCTTTCCATCTAAAGGAGAATCCTAAGGCTTTCATCTAGTGGATCCTGCTGCGTTTGTCAGAAGGGCAGACTCCTTGGGCGTTCCATCCCTGAATGTCCACAGTGGGGGCAGCGGGTACCACAGCCCAAACCCCTCCCACGGAGCCAGGGCAGACCTTTGGAAGGTGGTGTGGCTCCAGCCCTCTACGTTCGGGCCTGCAGCCCCAGACGCAGTTGGATGCACTCACAGACGCCAGCTCGGGGCAGCAAATGCCAAGCATGGGGGACACTTTGCCCCCAAGGTCCCCTGCGGGGCACGGCTGGGGGAACGGTGTTCTGGCCTTACCATGTGTCTCTTTCAGTTCCAGTTTCTTGTGTTCAGATTCTTCTCAGAGGCCCGGGTGCCTCTCCCTCAGGAGGATGCAGCTGGCCTTCCCTGGGGACCCCTGTGCCTTTCCCCTGCAGACTGGAAGATGGCCACACTGGCCCTGTGGAGACAGGGCCACTTCCAGGAGCTGCTCACCGGGGAGTTTCGTGTAGGTTGCCCCCTCCCCACCTGGGTGTGTGAGCGCTGAGCTGAGAGGCATGAAGCCCTGGGGTATGCAGGCCCACTCTGCACTGAGGCCACTAGAGCTCCACGTGCAGCTGTGAGAAACTCTGTGGAAATACCTGATGTGCTTCCCAGGCTCCCCCAGCCGTCCCTGGATTGAATCCAGGGGTGCTCTACCACTAAACTCATATATATTTTGAGATAGGGCCTCATTAAATTACTGAGGCCGGTCTCTCAACTGTGATCCTCCTGTCTCAGCCTCCCATGTTGCTGGGATCACAGGTGTGAGCCTCTGTGCCTGGCCCAATAGTAACTATTTACAGAAGATTTTAAGGGTGAATTAAAAACACATTGCAGCTGAGTGCGGTGGCGTGCCTGTAATCTTAGAGGCTTGGGAGACTGAGGCAGGATTGTAAGTTCAAAGTCAGCCTCAGTGAAAAGTGAGGCGGTAAGCAACTCAGAGAGACCCTGTCTTGAAATAAAGTACAAAATAGGGGCTGGGGATGTGGCTCAGTGGTTAAGCACCCCTGAAGTCAATCCCCAGTACCCCCCCGCCCCCCCCCACCCCAAAAAAAAACCACATTGCTGCTCCACCATTCCCTCGTGTGTCTGAACAGTTGTTAAGTTAGGGAAAAAACCTGAAAGGTGGGTTGCACGACTTTCCCAGCTTGTTCAGCATCCCAGTGTGGGAGGGGCGTGCCAGCTCCTCCCAGGGGCCCCATGGAGGCAGAGGGGCCTGCTCCCAGCTTGCACCTGGTTGCCTGGCCTTCGCCCTCACCCTCAAAGGGTCTGCTGAGGGTCCCCATAGTGTGAGGCTTTGAGAGCAGCCCACCTGCCCACATCTGTTTGTAAAACTGCTCTGGGAATCTTCAGACAGGAAGTGGGCTGTGAGGAATACCTGAGCAGTGGTTATTCCCACAGGGCTCCCCCCAGCGCAGGGAGCCAGGAACTCATCTGTCTTGGCTTTGTGTGTGTGTGTGTGTGGGGGGTGTGTGGGGGTGCAGCACATGGGCCAGCGGCTCAGGGCTGGGCAGTGAGCAAGGATAGCGGCAGAGCTCCATGGCACCTGTCCTCACTTCTCGGGCTTGGAGCAAATGCACTTGGTAGAAGAGGCGAGTGTGGAACCTGTGATCTGAGAGGCCTGGTCTCCTGGGGATGGAGTGTGCACAGGTGTTTCCTTGACAGAACTGGGGCCCTTTCTGTCAGGCTCTTCAACTGCAGTGGGCTTTAGACAGGCCTTTGTTTTGGGGATGAAGCAACAAGTGTGTGGAGCTTGCCCTGCACTGACCACCCTTGTCTCTCAGCTAACCTTTGGGGACTGGCTGCAACTGGAACTGGAAATCCAACCTGGAGCCGATGCCCTGTCAGACACAGAGAGGTGAGTGTCTGTGGGAGCTCCTCAAAAATGGCCTCAGTTTTCTACCAAAGTTTGTCTTTTTACCTTCAGTGCAACATTCATGTTAACTGTGTAGCCTCTGCACCAATTCTAATTATTTCATTCAGGAAGCATTTATTGAGCTTCTGTTCTGAGGCAGACTTTCCTAGAATGTCCTAGAAGCTGGGCCTGCAGTGTGTCAGATGAGCCTGCCAAGATGGCACCTGTGTGCAGACAGGGCACATGAGGTGCACAGAGGGCTCTGCATACCTGACCGGGCTGTGCCCTAGTGACAACAGGTGAACTGGAAGTAGGGATGAGCACTGCCAAGACAGGGCCGGGGAAAGGGTGGCTCTGGGCATGTGCCATCTTGAGATGGGAGTACCACAAGCTGGGCAAATCCAGGGCTGAAGACTGTCATGCCAGGCCTGCTGTTCTGGGCACATAAATGGCTTGTTGAAGGACTTGGGTTTGAGGGTATGGAGTTTAGGGCACAGAGAGGAAACTGTCGTCACCACAAAGGCTGGGTGTAAAGTACCAGCTGCAGATGCAGGCCCGTGGCTAGTTGGCTCTGAGAGTCTTCCCTCCCATGCTCACACTGTCCTCCGCTGCAGTGGACATCTGGGTACATGGGAAACGGACATGGCAGACCACACTTTCTTGGTGTGAGGGTTCCTAAGAACCTCATCTTAACCCCTAGGTCTCTGTTACCTGGAGGTTATGTCCAGACGTGTTCCTGGATGTCCTGTTCTATGTGTGGCCCTGGGGTTGAGCCAGGGGTGCTCTACCACTGAGCTGGACCCAGCTCTGCTTAGTTTTTATCTGAGACCCGGTCTTCCTGGCCTGGAACTTGCATCTTCCTGCCTCAGCTTCCTGGGTAGTTGGGTTTTCAGGTGTGCACCACCCACCTGGCTCCTTTCTTAATCCCACGAGTGATGCGTAGACGGCTCTGTGCAGGCGACAGACAGCAAAGCCCTGGCCTACTTGCAGGCTTGCAGCTGTGTGGTTGTGGGATGGGTCTCCATCCCCTGGAGGCCCTGCTGGCTCCCACAGTGCCCCGGCACTTTTTGTCAGCTGCCCTGCAGTCTGAACACAGACCTCACAACTGTGTATGCAAGAAGACTGGGCAAAGTTCAGACATCCTTGATGACTCAGCCTGCACATCTTTTGGGTGTGTAGCCGTTGGTCAGGCTGCAGGACAACACCCCATCTGGACTTTGGTCAATGGCAGCAGTTTGCAAGGGTGGATCTGCCCCCGAGATTATGCCTTTCCAGGTCCTAGCCTGGCAGGTAGTCAGGCCTCCAAGAGGCCATGCTGAAATGTGTGCCTGAGACTGTTAGTCCCAGCCCCTCCAGTGTTCCCAGCAATCACTCAGACTTCCCACGTACAGATTAGGAAGAAACACTGGCCATGACTTGCTTCCTCCTCCTCAGAACTGACATCAGCATTCACTTGCAGACAGGACTTCCACCAGTGGGCAATCTATGAGCACTACCTCCCTGCGCCCTCTGCTTCAGGAGGCTGTGATGGAGACCTGCAGGTGGCGTGCACAGTTCTGGTCAACGTGCTGATGGACTTCTATCACAGGTCAGCCACACAACACCAAATGCATTTGACTTTTAGGCAGTTCTGAGAATGCACTGTCCCTCCTCAGTCCATCACGTTACACAAAACGCATTTGGGCAGAAGGTGGTACTTAGAGGGAGGCATCCTGGGTCAGCTTTTTCTCCCAGGGCACAGCTTGTGGCAGGAGGAACAGCTATTTCACACCTGTTGTGCAGGGTCAGCAATGTGAAGATGGTACCGGTGGCCTGGCGAAAATCCCCCCTCCCATAGCAGGGCTGGCAGGCAGTGCTTGAAGCAGTGAGTGTGGACTGGCCAGGTGTCTCCTGGGGTAGACGGTTCTAGCCCCTTTGTCCTCAGGAATGCTGCTAGTGACTCTCCAGGTTCCACCCATCCCTGTCTCGCCCAGCAGGGCTGTGTAGAGGCCCTGAGGCAGACAGTTTCCTTCCCAGGTGGTAGGCAGTGAATCTTAGGATGTTAGTTGTGAAGATGGAGTCCAGACAGTTTCTTCCACTGTCCCTCCTGCTCCCTGGGGCCCATGAAGGTGCTGTCCAGTTGGCATAGCCGTCGTGTGCCATCTGCTGCTGCATGGAAACGTGCTTCAGTGTGGCAGCAGTATAGAGCCTGGGGTGGTGCAGCCCACGCTGTGGAAGCAAGTCAGTCCTGTCCCCTCGAAGGGACAGCCATGTGGGTGTGAAGCTCAGTGAGGGAGTATCTGCTAGTGACCTCCGAGCCCTGGCAGCCAGCCTCCTGCTGTGGAACTGCTTTCTGAACGTCCCAGAAATGGAGCGGCATGTGTGCCCTTGTGTCCTGGGTGTCATTGGCTTCCGTGAGCAGTGCCCCCAGACACATGAGTTCTGATGACAGGGTGTGCCAGGGAGGGTGCACCCCGTACAGGTTTGTGCATGCGTGCAGGGTGGATGCCAGGCTGTGCCTGCATTCTGGCCCTCAGGAATGATGCTGCTGTGAGCATTCCGTGAGGTTTCTGGGTAGGCGTGTATGGAGTGGAGCTGTGGGTGATCTGGTCACTCTGCCCACTCTGCACCCACCTGCAGTGCAGGGGCCCTACTTCCCACATGCCACCTGCCTGTCTGCTCCTCTGGGCATGAGGTGCTGTTTCTCATGGTCTCAACTTGGAGCACCTTTGCATGTGCCTTTGGGGAAGCATCTGATCACATCCCTCACCTGCTCCCAGGTGCTAGGGAATCAAACCCCACGTCCTGTGTCCTCTAG